GGACAAGATGGCCCTCAGCATTAACAGCCCAGAATCAGAATATCAAAGTCAATGTCACTTGAGAGAAGTTGGGTGTTACATTTCTGCCTTTTTGCTGTTTAACACTCCTGCCTTGAGCTGTGCTCACCACGCATAAAAACAAAGAAATGGGTTTGGAGCTCTAACTTAACTAGTGGAAACTCAACTGAAAGCTAATTAATAATAATACACCAAATATCCATTTCTTCCCAAAGACTGTGACTTGCTAATAATGAAGATTTCAGTCAGTTTAACCTGATCTCTTAGGTGTGTCTAGACATGGTCAAATCCGTGAAGTCCAAAAATACTTGAGCTAGTTCCAGTGCCAAAACCATTCTAGCTATAGGAGCAATTTTTGAGCAAGGAGAGATTTTCCATGTAGATTAACTCTTTCAGATTTTGGGGTAAGACTTTTTTTAAGTCCTCTAATATCATGGGCAACTCTACAATATCCTAGAGCGTGCCAGGTCGACATACGTATAGCTTCCCTGTGCTTTGATGCTTCAGATATTGGCTTGATGTCTCATTAGTGAGCCTTTATTTGTCAATCACAGAAAACATTTTGTCAACCAAGTGAAGAGAAACTAGAATTTTTCCACCACACTCAGTTTTATAAATCACCAATCATAATCTATTGAACTGGGAGCCAGCAGCCTGGTCATTTCTGTTAGACTTTTGTGCTGCTTTGTGTAAAGCAACTCCCATTGCCTTAAAAATAGCAGCTTTGAAAACAAATACACAGTGTTTGCAGAAGCTGTTACCAAAACCAGGTAGCTGACAAATATATAGGCCTTAAAATATACTCTCCAAACACCTATCCATTTTTCAAATGTTCCTAAGATTTTTGTTACCTGGTACATTTATAATCTAGAAATGAAATAAAATGGTTTAAGATCAGTAAATAAATCTGTGTCTTTTATTATAATTCCAGATCATGATCTCTTCCAGATGCACGTGTTAGGAAATATTTTCTGCCTCCTAGCCAAAACACCTTCTCCCACAGCTAACAAACATCAACTTCATTTCATCTTCTTTTGTAACTACAGCACACACCTGGCATTCACAGAGAATACCAGCACACAGGCAGCAAGGGCCCTTGCTGGTAAGAATTTGCAGGCTTCTTTATGTTTTAGAAAGTACTAATTCTTCTGATGAAAACTAGATTGGTAGTGGACATCCTAAATCCAGCACCCGACAACCATGACATGCAAACCCACAAGACCCTTTTGAAACTCAGAAAGAGAAGAGCACAACTACAAAGAGAGACAGAAAGTGAAAGAATATAAGAACAATTATTATTAGTATAATTTTTAAGAGACAAAGCCATTGTGGGACTCCCCAGTCTAAAGGAATTCTGAATTTAAGAGTGAACCTCTGAAAGCACAGTCAGCATTCATGCTTTTACTACTGTTTTCTTGGATGGTCATTTTATACCATCATTCATCAGTGGATAATATGGTCTGATGTGCAAGCAATAAAATATTGACCAAAATCCTATAAAATAAGGACTCATTTCAACACATGAGAGCTCTTTTATGGTACTGTGAAAAGCCTGAGAAAATTTTAGTCCACTTCTGAACAGACTCATTATTTATCCAAAGGGATGCCTTCTGCCTGAGCACTGGGCCACACTGTTGAGGGGCTCCACTTTCAGAGGCAGCCTTCACAGTGCTCCTCTCAACAGTCCTTTCAGTGTGCTTTGTCTTCTCCCTTCAGATGCCTCCTTCCTCCTCTGTGAGGTGCAAGAGTCGCAGGGCTGCAAAGTATGCTTTGCTGTTTCATACACTTCTCAGATGAAAACCAGCCAGTAAAGGGTTAAGCCGAAAGCACCAAGCCGCTGCCTCCTCCACTGAAGGATTGATTTGATCATTCTTCAGGGATTCCCTCTTGTATGAGTCACTCACTGCTCAGACAGACTCCCCAAACAAGGAGGCCAGGATAATGCCATTCCTCCAGAGACTCCAACAGCTGAGGGCTAGCCCTGAACATGGAGAGCTTCGGACTCATGCTTGGAAAAACATTCAGAGGACCACAATGCACTCGGCAGACTTAAAGGAATTATTCAGACAGAAAGGAAAAAAAAAAAAAAAAAAAAAAGGCAAACAAAAAGTCTTCTCAAACTCTTTGCATTAACTAATGAAATATGCAGACTAGAATGAATTAGATGAGCTCCTGGAGACTGGCTCCTGGCTTGGGGACTCTGCCCGAGTAACGACTAAAGATGTGAAGTCATGTAATATAATATTTAAATTTTATATAAAAGATACGTCCTCTTTATGTGATTCCTGTGATCTATTACTTTGTAATAGCTGTGTTTGGCTGCTACCCACTAGGAACGTGATTAACATTTTGAATTCAAAAACAAAAGCAGGAACAGCAGCAAAACTAATGAATGTCTCCAGCTAATCACAGAAGTTCATAACCAGCTTTCTAAGAGAAAGAGAAACTGTGCTGGTGTTCCCTCTCTTGACCTACTTTCATAGATGTGCAAGAGCTGAAAGGGAGAGATACAACACGTGCTGATTTACAAATGAAGGCTGGTAATGCTTTTTCATTTGACATTAAATACAGTGACTCTGCTCAAAAACTGAGCCTGAGCAGACTGCCACTAAGATACTGATGCATCGTGCTTGTTTCCAATGCATCAAGCTGCATCAGGCAACACAGTGCACAACTCATCACAGAAACCCTAGAAATTGCTCAGCCCAGGTCAGCCAGCAACTCTGCTTTTTGTGTGCCATCCCTAGTGACATGACTGCAGCTCCTGGAGATGTTGAACACTCTTGACTTTAAAGGCTCTGCCCCTGTAGCGTTTCTCCACGAGGTAGTACTGCCCTGTGACCACACCAAATCTACTGTGAGACTACTAAAACCATGCAAGACAGCTTTGGATTAGAGCTATCAATATTGACTTAATGATCTTGATTACTTCTCAAGGATGGCAGCCCACTGACCGGTTCCTGCAGTGTTGCCCCTGACTCCACATCAGGGGGAAGAGTGCAGGGGGATCTCAGTAGTGCTCTCATGTAGAAAAGACACTCCCTCACTGGTCCATCCTGCCAACCCATGCACCGAAGAAGTTCACCCCAGGAGTTTTTCAGGGCAACAGGCAAGGCCTTTTGATAATTTTCTTCCTCATCAGTATAGCCAGTGTGCAGCAGTACATTCCTTCACCTCTCACAAGGTTTAAAAAATGACACTTGTACAATTTCTTTCCTATCAGTATGCTGTCTTTGTACAGCCTCAAATTCCTTTTGCTCAAGGGAGGTATCTGTCTTGTTAAAAAGTACAAGGCTGGTCCTGTTTTACATTTTTTTAATTTAAGGCTTTTGGTGTACTTAATGCTAAGGGATGCAGTATCCAAATCCACGCTATGGTACTTGCTGATGGGCAAGTAGCTTCACCATCAGAATCCTTTGGGATGTGGTACTTCAAAATTTGTTCAACTCCATAGAGAAAGAGGAGAGAAAAAAGTATGAAGGAAAGCACCCTTCAGTGTGGTTTCCTTCCTGTAACGAGACAGATCGAGGACTCTGCTCCTGACATGTCATACTAACCCACTTCTGTGCAGCAAAGGAAGTTTAAATATAGACAGTCACGTTCTTCCCTCCCCTCACACTACGCAATGAGCCCAGTTCAGGTTTTTTTAATTATCATACCACCTTTTTTCCTTTTTTTAAAACTTTCTTAATAAACCAAACCGGTGTCCTGCTCATCCCCAGGCCAGAGTGACTGGATGCAGAGTGGCACCCAGGGGTGACAGGAGCAGCGCTGGCCGGCTCCAGCTGCAGAGCCCAGGTGCTACCTCCGCTCCACGTGCACCTCTGGTGACTTAAACCTCACCAGCTTGGGACTCTGATGGTGATGCTTCAGGGGAGTCTTCTGCTCCTTCTCTAAGCCTGCTGAGTCCAAGGACTCGGATGTCTTTGCCTCCAGTCTCCCCAGCTCATCCCACCACCCCTGCCCACGGCACCCGCCAGCGGCACAGGAAGCTGGACTGTGGGCAGGAGAGCAGCCGGAGAACCTCATGCACACAGAGGGTTAAACAGGCACAGTGTCAAGGCTGCTGCTGGCAGCCTGAGGAGTGCCCAAGACTGTGAAAAGTCTGGGGGGGTTTCAGACAGCAGCTGAGGCATCCAAGGCTTGTGCCAGCGCCAGGGAAACCCTTTCCAAAACAAGACTCAAAACTACTCTTAACGATCTTGTTTCAGAGCCTGAATTTGACTCACAGCTCCACTCCCACTGCCTTTTCCTGTGGGGGCATTCACGTGCATTATGTGCTGTCACCCTGTGACCCACTGCTCCTGCAGACACCCTACCCCTCCCACAGACACCTCCTGCTCCAGCCCCAGCTCCCATCCAACACTTGCCCTGCTCCAGCCTGAGACCCTTCCCCAGGAGGAGCAGTCCTGCTACCGATGCACCACGGGAGCAGCAGCGGAGGAGGGGGTAGTTGTGTTCTGTCCTCCCTCAATCCTCCAGGGAAAGCAGAAACATGTCTTTCAAATGAGCATGTGTTCGCTGCAAGTCCTGCTCAGCTAGCAGCTTGTAAACGTCATCGGTCTCGACTGCCCCAGGAGACAGAGGTGTGCACACAGTGCCCCCAGCACCACTCCCGCTCCCACAAGTTGCAGAAAGGCTTAACAAGATGCAGCATCCTGCAGGTTTTACAGGGACATGCCACCAGAGGCTTCAAACACCTTTCACAGGTCCTACCTGGTACAGCCATAGTTTGCTACAAAAGCAAATGCCAAACGTTGACATTCAATGTTGCTATTGTCTACCTTTAGCTACACCTGCCATAGTGTGAAACCTCAGCACTAGACACGGCTCAGATCACTTTCACAGCTCTGCTCAGTGACAAGGAAATCATATTAAGCACAGAAGAAAATGTCATTACTGTATATATGCTTTCATAAACTGGAAGGGAATTTAAAACTGGGGAAAAAAGGCAGACCAGAGTCTAGATTGAAAAGACATACCTGGTGCTTTCTCCACAAAGATGACTTTGGAGTCTTGCAGAAAGTTATGGCCCGTCAGTATCATTTTTTTCCCTCCAATAACAGGAAAGCTGTCAGTACTTTGTTTCTCCACCAGAGGCAGTTCTTGGGCAGATCTCTGAGCTGTAGAGTTATAAAGAAGATTTAAAAAAAAACCACAAACAAAAAACAAATAGGCAATCACAAATGCACACAAAAGTGAATACTGCATTAGCATGTAACTTAATGCTTACCCTCATATGAAAGTTGAGTTTGACATAGAAACAAAGAAAGGTCAGAAGGTTTGCAAGAAACATGGTTGGTTTTCAAGTGCCTTGATCACAAATAATAGGGTTATCAAATGTAACAGTACAGACTAAAAAGGCTCACAAAGAACGAGCTCTTTTAAAACTCAGTTTCATCTGTACTGTATCAAAAAGTATTTTTTAATTTAATTTATTTTAAACAACCTTCTCTTACGTTATCTATAACATATGTCATGTGTTTATAAGGCACCTACGACAAGACAACCATCCACACCCAAAATGTGTTTCAGTCACTATACACTGTATTGTCAGTTCTGCAGACTGTCTTGCAGTAGCAGCCATGGGCTTCACCATCCAGCAGAAGCTCCTAGTTTAGACAGCATATTTCCATGAGAACCTGACTGCTACAGCACACGTGGATCCATGCACACACATCAGATATTCTCATGGCACATATTTTATCCTCCCCCCCAGCTGGGACATGGAGCAAGTATGGCTCTGCTTCAAGGGATGACGTGACATTTTATCCAGATTACATGGTTCCTCCTGGTGTCACATGCACTAAGAGATGCGTGAAGTTTTTGGCACCATCTTATTCCATACTCTGCACTGGAAATAGCACTAGAACTTGGTTTTTTCTTCATTTTCCTCTCCTTTCAGGAGAAATATACCACAGTTTTGCTTGTTACACAACCCTCAAAACTGCCGTTCACTGTTACAAATCTAATTTGCTTTATATTTAGTGGCTTCCTGAGTTTGCCACCTTTGCACAGACCAGTTCGGGATGTATCCAAATTATGCCTTATCCTGCTATATACCAACTGCAAAGCTTCAACTTAAACAGGAGCAGAATGAAACCATGACTCCCCACACTTTTTGTTTTGCCTGCTAGCCTAGAACTTAGCCTTGAATAAGCAACAAAAAGAAAATTATTTGTCTCATACATATCCTGGACAGAACATGGGGCTTTATGCAAGTTGACCTGCTATAGGTAAGAAGGCTCTGCTATTGTGCTATTGTTCATAAATAACACAGGTTTATATTTATGGAACTCTCTTCTTACTGGCAATGCTCATTTGTTCATTTAAATGAATGACAGTGCAGGAGACAAGCTATCACTGTTGGTCTAACAGCACTACCCTTTCCCAAAACTTCTACCTCTCTTGTAGACTTGAACTACCAGCGTGGCAGTGGTGCTACCCCTGGCAAAAAGATGGAGTTTGTCACTGGTCTGAAAGTCTGTCACCAATGCCACTGCTTTTGCAAGAGGAATGCAAGGAAGCTCTTTCCTGCAGCCTCTCTATCAACAATCCCTGAAAAAGCACCATGCCTCCCAAGAGACCAAAAGCTGACACACTCCAGGGCCTGCCAGACACATTGTGTGGGACTGCAGCCTGGCAATGACACAAGAACAAGTGTGGACATGGCTCTTAAAACTCTGCTTCAGCCCATCCAGCTGACCAAATTGGCATTTGGGAGTTAAGACTGAATATCAGTTTCCACCACTTATGCTGGAGTGTAAAAGCTATGCGATGCAAATAAGTTTTGCTTTGGGCATGGGAGGCTGGCAAGGCTTACGGAGCAAGCATGATACAGGTCTTTGGAGGGTGCCTCTGTGTATCTGACAAAAATCAGTCTGTTCCATCAAAGAGAACCCAGTGTGGAAACCAGGTTTCTGGAGGTTTTCTGAAGCCACAGGCACCTTGTGCCAGTGTGCCAATTCCAGTACACTGTTAGTTCCTTTTCAAAGGGGCTGCGGTCTTGTTTGCTGGTTTTTGCTTTATAATGGAGACAGAGAGAGTGAACAGGACACAACAGCTGTCTTCCAAAACTCCTACAGCATTTACTTGGATGATAGGGAGTCAATCAAAAAAAAAAAAAAAAAAAAAGCCTTCTCACTCCCAGGTCTACTTTTAGTTTAAGTGCACTCTACTTCTGTTTAAGTGCATTTTTTACAATAGAAATCAATGCACAAAGCTGCACGTTTTTTTCTAATACACACATATTTTGACTTCAGTATAAATCACGTGCTTCTGAAAAGCAGACTCAAGGTTCACCAACTAGACAGGTAAGGCAAAACTGATGTACTGCAGGCTAGTTGAGAAAGTTTGCGTGTGGGGTGGCACAATATCCCAGCGAGAGAAGGGAGTTTGTTGCTACTCACAGCACTCAATGGGGTTGGAGGCTACTTGCAAGGAGAGGGTCCTGCCATTGGCCTGTGGGATGTGAACCCTGAAGACCAGCCGCACGCGCGTGTTCTTCCGGCCGATGTCCGTCTCACCCTTGCGCAGCTCGATGTCAGAGTTTCGGAGCTTTAGTATCCCAGCACAGTCAATGCTGCCCAAAAGGAAACACAGGGAGATCCAATTCATTCCAAGCAGGCTTCAGAAGACACAGGCATGCAATATGTTCCCTCTCTCCTGTACGTCCTTCATAATAATCTGACTCAGGCATGACCCAATGACCAGGCTGAACACAGCAGGCTTTGTTAAGCTTAGTACTTGCATCCCCAAATAGCTAAATTGGGGCTGTAGTAACAGGTAGTAGCCACTGTCATGCACACGAATTTAAGATGTTACTTCAGTTCCCAGACATCCAAAGATGCTTCTTTCCCAACATATCCTGTAAGGATGGCACTTAAAGATTAACCAAAGTCCAAAGAAATGGCAAGACTAGAAAAGTCACCGGGATGAGACAGTAGTGCACAAATTGTTACTAATCTAGAACACAGGGTTACCTACAACTTCACTTGTTATAGCCTATTTGGAGAAAAATCTGACACAGTTTTTATTCAAGGGCAAAGTCCTGAAAATGCTTATTAATAAGCACAGCTCTCCCTGGGGTCAGATCCATTGTCAATGTGTTTGTATTTGAATGAGCTGGAAATACTCCCAAGCTGAAGCTCTCCATGAAAAAAAAAAAAAAAACTAAACTGTTTTTTGTCAGATAGAACTGTTACTATTTCAGACCTCTCTCTCAATTTATTTAACTTGAGTTTTCTCCTGAATGAGTTTACAAGTCAAGATTTTTGTCAAAGCAAATTTCAATAGAGGAAGTTCTCAGAACAAAAGATGCATAAACACACATACTCAAAAACCCACTGCAAGAATACCTCTGCTTTGGCCACAACTACAAAGCCTATGTGGCAATTTCTTCTGGGTACTGGTCTCTGGCACGCATTCTGTTACACTGAATATGCATAGTTTAATTTTGTTTTGCATTCAAAGAGTTTAATTCCCTCTCCAAATCTTTGAAGCTCTGTTCTGAAGCGAACTGCAAACAAGAACTATGGCAGTATGGTTTTGATCTGTGTTTTTTCTAAAAGTATGGATTTCAGATTAACAAAAAGATCCTTGCTGATACAATCAAAGAAACTAATGAAAGTATTAAAGCTTCTCAGCAATGCATATTAGCAGATGAAGCCATAAGAATTATGAAATACTTGTACCCATGTCAAAATTCTACACAAAGATACGGAAGAAATATTACATTTCTCAATATTGTCTCTAGCAACCCTTGTAAAATAAATAAAAATTACTTAACAACAAGTAGTTTGGAGTCAGTAAAGTTCAGAGGAGAAAAAGCATTTAAATTCAGGCTTGTAAAGTCAGGGACATTACAATCTGAAGTCACTGGGAGCAGCTAAATGGGCAAAAGATTAAATGTGCTGATGAGCATCACTGTTTCACTACATCAAGGCCTGAATTCACAGAGTTTGTGTGAGAAAAATCCTTAGCTCCAAATTTCAATTAATTGTTAGCGCTGCACGAGGTTTTAGGCTACTGATGGTTAAAGCTTATATATCCCAAAGCACTGTTTGTGGACTTCCCAGTTCAAGAGACAAGCAGCTACTGGAGAGAGTCCAACAGAGGGCTACGAAGATGATCAGGGGACAGCAGCATCTCTCTTACAAGGAAAGACTGAGAGACCGGGGGCTGTTTAGCCTGGAGAACAGCAGACTGAGAGGGCATCTTATCAGTGCTTATAAATATCTAAAGGGCAGGTGTCAAGAGGATGGGGACAGCCTCTTTTCAGTGGTGCCCAGTGGCAGGACGAGGGGTAATGGGCAATGATTATAACACAGGAAGTTCTACCTAAACACAAAGAAAAGCTTCTTTCCTTTGACGGTGGCAAAGCACTGGAACAGGCTGCCCAGAGAGGTGGTGGAGTCTCCTTCTCTGGAGAGATTCAAAACCGGCCTGGATGTGATCCTGTGCAACTTGCTTTGGCAAGGTCCAACCCTCTTGGGTTATCCCCAGAGGTCCCTTCAAAATCCTGTGACTGTTTGTGGTTCCTGAGAGAGCTTTGCTATGACCTGGCACACATGTCACAAAAATATTCCACTTGGCTCCCAAACTGTCTAACTACCTTTATTCTAAGAAGAAAGGTGATTGAAATGGAAATAATGTTCCTAGATGACCAAAAATGTGATTCAAATTGAATACAAATAAATACTGCTTTGGTACAAATTGCTGAAATGTCTATAACCTCACTGGAGTTGTACCAGCTTATAGTGACAGCGAATTGGGCCAAAAATTTTGCAGGCTTGTCATGACTTTTAACACAATGCACTGACAGAGGTTCTTGAGTGATCACCCTGAGCCCAGCTGGCAATGCAGCTGAACACGTCCTGGCTCTTCTATTTACATGAGGCACTCCAGGGCATGTTGTACATGACACTGCAATCCAGTTTCTAATAACCACTGCATGTGGAAGGAGTTCAAGTGTCTGATACCATTTTTCACTTCATTAAGGCATGGAAAAATGAATGAATTACAAGGATTGAAGTTGTGATTTTAGCAAGCTCCCTTGAATTTTCCCATGGCATTTGGCTTAGTGGGGCCAGGACTTGCTTGTTTTCTGTCTTCCTACCTACTTATCTTTCTATCTCCCTATACATACACACACAGGTGCATAAAACGATATATAAAGACTAATACTTTCAGACTTATACACACACCAAGAGCTGTACATGCAAGGTACACCAAGGAAGACACCTCAGATAAGGTTTAGGATCACTTGAACAAGTGGGGAGACAACTCAGATAAGCACTAGGATAATTTAACAAGGAGGGCAGAGAGGACAGGATTAAATAATGTGGAAGGTCTCATGTATGCCACATACACAGAGGGATATTTGAACCTTTATATACAATCCTGTAATGAAATTTACCTCTGAGTTAATGGAGCTACAGGGCATTTAGTTATCACTCAGATTCATACTAATTCAGAAATCCTAAGACATCCACGCCTGCTTTTCTGCATAGAACTAAACTTACTCCAGTCTAATAACTCCAGTCACTAAGCTGTACCACCTTTACTCCTCTTACTTCTAGAAGCTTTGCTTCTCAAACAATGCCATGAAAAATGCTGATTTTTATTACATAAGAAATAAGAGTGGTTTTATCCATCTCAAAAAAAAACTACTAGTGTACTTGGAAGGGCTCTCTAAGAGTTTCCTTTGACATCCAAAGATAAATTTTAATTGGCCTTGTTCCTTGTGCTAGTGCGTATAGGAGCAAGAGGTGTCATATTTAGAAACTAAATGCAGGAGCTGAGGTAGGAGATATTTACAGCTTGGTAACTGAGATCCTTATTTTAAATGGCAAATAAGCACGCTGGCTGAAACTCTAGAATGAAAGCAATCAGTTGTCATAAATATTTGTGAAGTTCATTTTTGCTGTTCAGCTGATGAGAGGCAATTTGTCCCAGCAAAGTTGTGAAAACGTACTATTACAGTGAGAACTTTAATAAAACAAACCGGAAAAGGAAAATTGTGTACAAAAGCCCAAAGACCCAAACAATCTCCAACACAGAAGAAATCAAGTGAGGCGACCAAGAGGAAAACGGCACGAGTCAGGTGCGGTGCCTGGGTCTTACATTGCCCTCATGTTGTTCTCTGGAAGAAGCGGGATCTCCAGGACTTTGGTGTTGGAAAGTATGGTCTCGTGGCTGGTGGTGGAGACGGTCTTGCCAGTGATGCGGTGGACCTGGTAGAAGGCGTGGGGCCGCAGCAGGCGGTCGTCCGCGGTGCCGATGAACAGCTGCAGCGTGAGCGGCTCGCTCTCCAAGTACCCGTGCAGCTGGTGAGAGAACAGAAGATGCCCACTGAGCACCATGCACATAAACTGCTCGGAATCAATTAAATTTTTATAAGCAGGAGAGCCTAATTCAAGGAGAGAACTTGTGACAGGTGCTACGTGTTAAGTTCCCCGCTTCCATTTTTCCTGTAATGTAATATTGGTACAATAAAAAGGTGCACTCAGAAAACGTCTCATTACCCGAAAGGACCCGAGGCACTTTAGACCTGGTGAGCTTTTGAGCACTCCTGCTACATCCACAGAAAACTTTGCATAAATTCTGCCGGCGTTCAGAAGAAAACCACAATGAAGTCAATGTTCCCTCCCAGTACTGAGGGAGGCAAAACCGATGGAGTCTGCAAGTGGGAAGGACACAGCTCACCTATCCCCAAGCTTCCCAAAGCACCCCTTGCAGAGCAGCAGGCTGCTGCTCATGACACGTCCCCTCATTAACTGATTTTTATGCTAGTAAATACCTCCTGAGATAGTGTGGAGACAGATCACATATACACAACTAGTAGCTCACCATGTGTGTCAAATTCTTGTTATAATCGCACAAAAATCTCATTGAAGCTACTGGGCCTGACTTGAACCTCATCCATGTTACAGTGACCCCTCTGATGACATCAAGAGTTATTTCTGTCACAGGCTAGGAGTGAAGCAGGAGCAGAGTCTGACCTCATCACCACCACCTCCTGAAGAAGCAGCTCTGGGTCCATGCTGGTGTGAAGACCACAGGTGAGGCTATCTGGGGACAGCTCTTGCTGCACTGCTCTCACTGCTGCAGCCTGACAGTGAGAAATGAGTCCCACCAACTTCGTTCTCTTGCATCAGTTAGCTGCAAAGCCTCATCCTGAGTTAAGGGAGGGTGCAGCAACCATAGGAGAGAGGAGTGCAGGCAAGGTGGCCTGTCCCAGGAGATGCATCATCACAGAGCAAACCTGCTCAACTCCCTGTAGTTTCCTCTGCAAATGGCTCAGGCGGGTTTAGGCACGAGTTACCCACCACCACTGCACCACCACTAGATCTTATAGATCAAAATTAGACCACTGATCATAATTTGGTGAGGAGCAACATTTTTAATTTACAATGCATGCAAGTTCAAAGCTAAACAAAGCTGAAGGCAAGTAGTGAAACCTATGTCAAATATTTATGATACTTGTGTTTTGCTTACTTTCACACATCTTTAGATCTTAAAAAGTAATTTATGGTTTCGTAACAACATAAGACTTATCTCTCTATGGTATCTTGCCGTCTGACAGCAGGAATGCTATTAAGAACAAAGTTCTTGAGTCACTTTTGCTCCTTGAAGCACTGCAGAATTCTGGTGAGTGCAAACACAGGCACAAAGCCATCCCACTG